CCGTTTAATTTATATAATAAATAAACTAATAAATAAATTATATAATAAATAATAAATAATTAAATATAATAATATAATATAATTAAATAATAAATAATATAATAAATAATTTATATAATAAACCAGTTAGAATAACCCGTTTTCTTTGAACGAGAAATACGTTTTTAAAAAACGCATAATAAAATCTAGTAGAGCGATCTTTTGGATCTATCGATCTGAATTTCGATTTACGAATTTCGAAATATTACGATAAAGGAATGGATATTCAAAGGAAAAAGAAAAATTACAATTTTCCGGCCTCATAAAAATCGCGTATTATAAAACAGGAGGACGAAAAGTCAAGAAGAGATACAGAGCTCGAAAATCGTTACACGAGATGGAAAAAGTTGTCGGACTGGTGTGATACCGGATCGTCGCGGAGAAATTTAAAGCGTGCGTATTTAAGATGAAAGAAGAGCGTAACGAGCGGTCGAAGGAGGCGAGGCGAGGATGAATAAAAAAGAAGGGAAGGAGCTCGGCCGAGCTTCGCCTCGCGCTTCGATAATTCATTGATTAAACGAATTGTATCGAGCCGAGGAGAAGAATCGGAGATAAATTTGTCGTGATATTGGTTATAGTTGATAATGAAATTTTTCTTTTTTTTTTTGTTCGAAACGAATTAGCTCACGCTAATGTTTAACAAGATTGATAAAGGCAAAACAGCAATTATCTGAGAATAATGAATGTCAATAACCTCCATTCCGCTCGTATTTCGATGTCGTATAAAATTCTCAGAAATGTTCACACGATCTATCGATCAATCAAATTCTACTCCCAAAAGGTCATTGAAACATAGAGGATCGAAGTTACAAGTCGATTAGACAATTTTTTTGAATTGACAGAGTCACGTTATTGTTATACGTATGAAATATTTTATTGATTTTTAATTCATATTTGTCCGATATTTTAACTATTTTCAAAAAAATTTTCTTCAGAATAAATAGTATTATTTGTTGGTTTTAATTATTTTTAAAAGTTTCTTCTCGATCGATAACAATTTTACCAAGTATCTGTAATTGGACGATGGATCTTTTTCTTAAATAGTGGGAAAGATAAATAAAAATCCACGAGTTGCGTTATAAATATGCACGAGATATTTCATAGCGTGTAAAAAAGTGGCGGCAAACAAACCGGCGATGCAAAACGCGCTAGATTGTGCTCAATGCTCGATCGTGGAATCCTAGAGTTAAGTTGTCCCCATTTCTTCTGCCACATATCGTTTGGCAAAAGCGTCGTAATCTCGAAACAATGCGCCGTGTAACGATGCATTTTTCCTGGAAACGAGAGAGAGAGAGAGAGAGAGAGAGAGAGAGAGAGAGAGAGAGAGAGAGAGAGAGAGA